CCCTAGTTTTTCCTTGAGGAATTTTATAGTTTTAGGTTTCACATTTAAGTCTTTGATCCATCTGAAGTTAGTTTTTGTGTATGGTGTGAGGTACAGATCTTATTTCATTTTTCTGCAAATGGATATCCAGTTTTGCGGCACAATTTATTGAACAAACATTCTCTTCCCCACTTAGTGGATTAAGGCCCTTTGTCAAAGATCAGCTGACAAATATTTTGTAATTTTTTTTTTACTTGTTTATGAAATCTTGCTAAACTGTGAACAAATGTTCAAAAAAGTTGCTCTGTATTTAATCACTGTGAACAATAAAACAAAGAAGCTGATCTGTAATTAATCACCATTTTTTCATTCTCAAAACAATGCCTGGCACATAATAGATATTCAAAACCATGCTGTTTGATTAAATCAATGAATGAACAGCAGCATTTAAACTTCCTGTTCTTACAAAATAGATTTATAAATAATATCAATGATGGTTGCAAATTAACACTAATTATCATGGTTTGGATGTCTTAAAAATTTTTGACAAATACAGCATGCATAAGTGCTCTACTTCTTGGAGGAGAAAAGAATCATTTTAAATTAAGGGGAGGAAAAAGTACTGACAAAATGGTTCATTTTAAGTAATCTGGGTTTTCCCAAATAGTGACACGAGAGCCAGTCATTTCAAATTGGACAGTTTGAGTTTCTCTTCAAGAATTTGAAATGTAGGTCAGGGCTCTGCTAACATTTCCATTTGCTCATAACTGAAAATCTCAAGTGATCAGACAGCAGACAGCAGGCATAGCAGCCCATGACCCAACCAAGAGCAGCAGCCTGGCTCTGAGGAGGAATTATGTGCTTCCAACAGGTTGAAAGGTAAAGAGACAGTGTTCACCCAAATACTTAAAGATAGCTATGTTTTATTTTGGGAACATGTGGGCCAAGTTGCTTTCTCTTATAAGCTCAGGTGATATTTCATGCAGTGGCTACTGATGGCAGTGGAATCGCTAATATTGTTTGACATACCTTTAAATAACAATTATTAAAACCAATTTACTCTTAAACTTTCACCCAAATCACAATAAAATGTTTTTTTTAAAAAAAAAAAATTATTTTGTGTATTCTATTAAGTAGTTAACTTTTAACTGGGAAGGTTTTAGGGTTGCTTTGCCTATTAATTTCAAAAAGAAAAACCTACTGTTGCTAACAAGTTATGAAAGCAAACACTATATTCACAAGCTATGAGGTCCCTAGTTTTTAAAATGTTATCAGATGTTTTATGCTATTTGATAAGCCATGGGTTTTGCTTTGTTGCTATTTTTTTTTATATGAGAGATTCAGGCTCAGGTTTTATTAAGAAGATAACTCTAACTAAATAGTGTTGATTATTAAATATAGGATCACTGTGATTCAGAATTGACTCGATGGCAATGGGTTATTAAATAATCAAATTATTCAATAGAGTAACAAACTGAATAATGTAACTCTGGTTGTCAGTAAAGGCACCAGCATTTTGAATTTCTGTAATGTGTTTCTTTTGAGATCTTTATAGGTGAAAGGGTTTTCTGAAAGTTTAACTGGTGATATCACATATACTTTGTCTCACTTCACCTTTCCTCATTTTGAATGCTTTTTCTCTAGAAGTTCTGAAATTTTTGTTTTATCACATCAAAGATAGATAGGTGTACGATTTTGGTCAGGAGAAGAATTCATCATCAGTAGAGAAGGAGGAATTTCTGATGAGAAAGACTAGCTTAGGAGAAATATTATTATAGCAAGGGTCAATATGTCTTACAAGGATAATTTATAGTGATTTTTGAAGGTAGAAAATTCCATTTCCTTGCTTTACTTTTCCACTTCTTATTATACCTCTCCAAATACTAGTGATGTTATTTTGCCTGCTTGCCTATCTGCCTTCCTTCATTTCCTCCTTGCTAAACAAAAGAGTTTCAAAGAGAATAATTTATAAGAAAAAATGCAATACTTTTTATTATTTTATTGTTTTACTATTACATTATTACAAGTTTTCTTCCCCCCCCCCCCCCCCGAAAGACTAAATGACTTGTTCCTAATTTCAGGCATGAATCAGGTCACAATTCAATGGGATGTGGTAATGGCTCTTTACATACTTTTCAGTTGGTGTCATGGAGGTATGCATTTTGTGTATCTATCTTTTATCTTCTATTCTACCAGTAAAATGTTGAGTGTGTATTATCTTCAGGGCAATATGCTAGGATCTGTGAAGAATATAAAAATTATTAGATTGGGAAAAATTATACGCACATAAAAATTATATGAAATGGGATGAAAGAGGTCCAACCTTGCTCCATATGCAGGGCTCCTTTTCAAAACATCCCTGATGGGTAGTCCTGTAAGCCTTACATGAACATTTCTAGGAAGGAACTTACTAGTTTGAATTGGCATGTTCTAGTTTTGAACTATTTTATGTGTTGTAAGATAACCCATCAAAAGTTTGAATTTAATTCATCAAGCTTTTTATTAATGGTTACTATGTGCCTATGACTGTGCTAAGCCTTGTGTTCCTCAGAACAACCTGGTGCTTATGTGCTATGAACATTCCTATCTTACAATTCACACAAACCTCTAGCACCAGGCAGTAGCACAGTGTCCTGACAGACAAGCACAAGCAGCTTTGAGGAATCAAGGAAGAGGAAGGATCACCAGAAGTCATGGCAGGGCAGTGGTTGGCATTTGAGAGTTTCTTTTGGGGCTAATGGGAGAAGTCCCTGGGTGGTGCAAATGGTTAAAGTGCTTGGCTGCTAACTGGAAGGTTGGTGGTTTGAGTACATCCAATCTGCCTCTGAAGAAAGGCCTGGTGAGCTACTTCTGAGAACTCAGTCTTTGAAGACCCTATGGAGCAGAGTTCTACTCTGGTGCACAAAGGGTAACCATGAATTGGAATCAGCTGGACATCAATTGATTTTGTTTTAAGTGATGTCCCACATAGGAAGCAGGGATTCAATCACTGGGAGACAAGCAACAACAGGGAAGTCTCCAGACCTTCATGGAAATTTTGCAGATCATTCAAGTTATTCAGAATTAGTGACAAAAGCAAAACCCTCTCTTATAGGTTAGGACACAATTATAGTTGAGATGAAGGTGTAGCTGGAACTCTTCTGATAGGATGGTCTAGAACACGTCCCAAATCAAACTAACAACTACCCAAGAAGATTCAATGGAAATAAGACACCAGCTACATTTCCTAGATTCTTGAAATCTACAGATTATAAATAGGAATTCTGGTTATACATTCATAAGATTGATACAGAGCCATAGAGAAACAGATAAGCCCTGTGACATGACATTAGAGACCTTACAGCTGTCCATTAGAAATAATTTTATATTTTGGTGTTCAACCTGCTTTTAATATCATCCAGATCACTTTATTTTCAAGTTTTCTTCTAGAATATATCAATGTTTTTCAATAATAGTGACAATAAAAATACTGTATGTTGAGCATCTTCTGAGAAGGAAATTTTGTGTATTTTGGTATGGTTTATATAATCCATGTTGACCTATTGATGCATGATTTTTTTTTTCTTATGTATTGAAAAAATCATCAACTTACAAATCCATTCCTGAATATTGTGAAGTTTAGTGGTCCAGAATTTCTGAATTCCTCTTTCTTTCATTTTTGAAAGCCAGGACAACATACACCCAAATCTAGTCTTCTGCCATCTTTGCCATTTTCCATGTATTCTCAAAAATTACTCACAGTGGTTCCATGATAGAATCCACATGTTCCTTTAAGGTATTAGGAATGATAGAATCTGCATGCACCTTTAAGGTGTTGGAGATGCAGTTTATCTAAAGTTGAATTGTTGGACTTATTTAAAGTAGCCAGATGCTTTCTTAAAACTTCTTTCTCTGTCTTTGGCAGCAATTCCCTATTAATGTAGATGGAATTATTTTTATCACTACCTCTGTATTCATTGTTGTGTGCCATTGAATTGATTCTAACTCATAGCTACCCTACGTGACAGAGCAGAACTGCTCCATAGGGTTTCCTAAGCTGCAATCTTGAGGGGGAAGCGCTGGTGGTGTAGTGCCTGAGGCACTTGACTGCTAACCAGAAGGCTGGCCGTTCAAACGCACAAGCCACCCCACAGAAGGAAGATTGGCCAATATACTTCCATAGTGATACTGCCTTGGAAAACCAAGGAGGGGTCACTATGAGTTGGATCCAACTCGATGGCAATGAGTTGTTTTTTTGGAATCGTTATGTGAGTAGATTGCCACGTTTTTTCTCCCAGGGAACCACTGGTGGGTTCAAACCAGCACCCTTTCGGTTAGCTTAACCATTGTGCCACCACATATTTATGTCCATAATTTACCTAAAAATATTTATTACAGAAATGGAAATGTTCAGTTACTTTCATATTATACAAGGTAATCCTTTAAACTTCATATTCCAAAGACCAGACTTTTTCTTTTCCATCAAATGCTCACATTTAATTATCATTATTTTGTTAAAGTTTTAAAATATTTAATGTAGATATTTCCAGGAAAAGTCTATGATAAATTTGGTAGAACTTTTAATGTATTTCTTTGATATAATTTTCTTTCATTAATTTTGTATTGTCATTTATGTTTATAAAAGTAACTCTAATTTACCCAAATCACAGTAAAAACTTTAAAAGAGCCTCTAATTTATGCGGGTTTTATTATATGTAATATATTCACATTTAACTTTTAAAACAAAGAAATGTACAATTGAAAAATGAAAAAAAAGTACCCTAATACACAGATTATCATTGCTATTATCTTAGTGTATGTCACTTTAATTTATTCTTCCACTTATTTCTTTTTAACAGTCTATGCTAAATATTTTGTTTTGTAACTTAGTTTCTTCATTAACAATATGTTCAGAACATTTCCTCATATTATTTAATGAATGATGAATTTTAAGTGATTATCAACCAATAATTTTTACCATTGGTAAGTGTGCCTTTATTCATTGTACTTTTAATTTTCTAATGAAAGCAGCCATTATTTACAAGCTCATGTAACGAGAGAATGGAGTTGGATTCTGCAGTGTCCATGGTTATTTCTTATTTCATCTTTGAAAAACGGATTAATCCCGTAATACCTTAGTTCTTCACTTTAATATACTCACTGCTGTCGAGTCAGACACAACTCATAGCCCCCTACTGGGGTTTCCCAGGCAGTGTCACTACGGAAGTAGATTGGCCAATCTTCCTTCCGAGGAGTGGCTGGTGGGTTTGAACAACCAACCTTCTTGTTAGCCGTCAAATGCCTTAGGGACTATGAGACCACTTTAAAATAAGAGAGCGAATTATATTTACTCTTTAGCAGGACTTCCAACCAGTTCATTCCAGTTTGACCCCTTGCTGAGAATTTGCATTTCCACCCCAGTATACTGGATCAGAATCCACACTTAAATAGACTCTATAAGAATCACCTGGATCTTCCTAAAATGTAGATTCTGATTCAGTATTTCTAAGATGGAAATGCCAATTCTAAGCACAGGTGGAACAAGAATGAATCATTTGGAAGCCCTGCTCTCTAGACAACTAGAGAAGCTTAATGGCTGAATCTAGGCACTTGACTGCTAACCAGAAGGCTGGCAGTTCAAACCCACCAGCCAATCCTCAGAAGGAAGGTTGGACAATCTACTTCTGTGGTGATACCACTTTGGAAACCCAAGAAGGGGTCGCTATGAGTTGGTCTGACTCAATAGCACATAACAACAACAACAACAACTATGGCTGAATCTAGTCTTGCATTAGCTGCTGAAAGTCACAGAAGTATGATAAAAATACATTATGATCAACTAATCAATTGAAAATATATACTTAGTTCTAAAATGGTTTCTTTCAGTAGAAATCATTTAATTGATAGAAAGGAATGCATTTCAAATGCAATAGCATATTCTTTCTGAATATTCTGTTTTAATGTTACCCATGGAATTTATTATTTTATCATTTTGTTTCCAGGAATTACCAATATAAAGTGCTCTGGCCACCTCTGGGTAGAACCAGCCCCAATTTTTAAGATGGGTGTGAATATTTCTATATATTGCCAAGCTGCAATTAAGAACTGTCAACCAAGAAAATTTTATTTTTATAAAAATGACATCAAAGAAAGATTTAAAATGACAAGGATAAATAGAACAACGGCTTGGCTTTGGTATAACAACTTTTGGGAACCACAGACCTTTGTGTACTGCACGGCTGACTGTCCTGGGTATGTTCAAGAGACACTGATATGTGGAAAAGACATTCCTTCTGGATGTAAGTATAGGGGTTCATTCAAAATCCAAATGAAAATTAGTCTAGTGATCAACTGGTAATTACCAGTCTTATCTCAAATAGAGACACATTGATATTGTACACTTTTTTTCCCCTTATTTATTTATTTTAAGTTCTTATTGCGATTTGGGTGAAATTTTACAAAACAGATTCATTTGACATTCAACAGTTCGTACACATTTTGTTTTGTGACATTGATCACAATATTGTTCACTTCTTTACATTGGTTTAATTAAAAACACCAAACCCCAAAACCATTGCTGTTGAATCAGACTCAGAGTGGCACTATGGGACAGAGTAGAACTGCCTCTTAGAATTTCCAAGGCTGTAATCTTTTACAGAAACAGACTGCCACATCTTTCTGCCACAGGGGAGCTGATGGGTTCAAGTGTGGAACTTTTGGTTAGTGGCCAATTGCTTTAACCACTCCATCACCAGGGCTCCTTTTGATTTAATAATAGGAGTTGCAAGCTCAAATGTCTTCAGGTTACCAGGTTGGAGAAGTATGAGTTAAGGATGTGGATAGGAACTATGAAGAAAGAAATGTACACATTTCGTCTACTACTCAGCTCTACCATTTATGAGGGCTCAGTATTCCCATACATTCTGATTCTTCAAAAGAAATAAAAATCTGAGTTTTCAATGTAAAATCTCCAAATCATAAAATATTGTCAATGCACTCAAAAAACCATTTATAAAGACTTCTTTTTGTGTGCCATCGAGTCAGTTCTGACTCACAGCTGTCCTATACAACAGAGTTAAACTACCCAATAGGGTTTTCTAGGTTGTAATCTTTACAGAAGGAGCATTGGTGGCACAGTGGTTAAGTGACCTACCAGCTGCTAACTGAAACATTGGCGGTAGGAATCTGCCAGCCACTGCTCCGCAGGAGGAAGATGTAGCAGTTTTTCCCCTTAAAAATTGCAGCCTTGGAAATCCTATGGGGTAGTTCTAGCCTGTCCTAATAGGGTCAATATGAGTCAAAATTGACTCAATGACAATAGGTTTGGGGACTTGATGATAATGGGTTTGGGGTATTTACAGGACAAGATCTCTAGGTCTTTTCTTTGGAGAGCCACTAGGTGAATTTGAACCACAAACAGATTCAAACCATAGACCTTCTGGTTAGCAGCTTAACACATTCTAAACGCTAGCCTGGCCAATGAGGCATATCTGAGCCCTATCTCAGTACCCTCAGGTTTAAAATGTTGTTGTTTTCAACTTATTTTGTTTTGTTTTCTGAATTAATATTATTAACCTTGAAGTAGATCCCATTGAGAAATTTTGATGTTAAGATTTTGTGAGAAAACAGTTATAGACCTAGTTTTGTGTTTCTGTGGTGTTTCTCACCAGCTGTGTGACTTTGGACAAGTTTCTTAAGCAATCTGAGTCTCAATTCCCTGTCTATAAAATAAAGTTAATAATATTGGCTACAGAAAACATCTTTTTGAAAGCAAAATGGGCATCCTTTTTATAAAACATGAGGAGATTCTGACACAGTCTCCTGGGTCTAATCCCCCCACTGCCCACACTGTGAATCACTGTATCTGTTACTATAATTATTAATTAAGAAAAAAATGTAATCAAGGTAATACTTGAGATATATATATGCTACATATATGCACCTGGACCCATTTTCAGTGAAAGATGGAGGACTCTGGGTCTTGGCCATGCTCCTTTTCTTCATAAATTTGAGAATCAAACATGAGGTGGTTTTTTTTTTTAATTTTTTTTAATTGTAATTTGGGTGAAGTTTACAGAGCAAATCATTTCTCGTACAACAGTTCATAAACATTTTGTTTCATGACATGGCTTGCAATCCCCACAATGTAACAGCCTTCTTCCCACTTCCTCCCTGTGGCTACCTTTTTCCTTTGTCCTTCTTTCTCAGCATTTCTGCCCTCTGAGCTATCTCCCTATGCAAATACTGCCCTTCTGATCTCCCCTGATTAACTGTTCTAAGGAGTGTACCTGGGAGCTCTGGTAGCATAGTGCCTAAGGCATTTGACTGCTAACCCGAAGACACTTCTTGGAAGGAAGTTGGGGCAATCTACTTCCGTAGTGATACTGCCTGGGAAACCCAAGGAGGGGTCGCTATGAGTTGGGTTCGACTCCACGGCAAATAACAACAACAACAAGGAGTGTACCTATCTGGTATAAATGTTCATCCTATATGTCTCTCTGTTATAAAAATGAGTTTTTAAATCACCTTGCTTGTTCCTCACCTCCAGACCGCAAGAACCAGACCATCTGTCACCATCACCTCCTATCCCTTGGAGTGGTGTGCCTTAAAATGAAGTGGCTTTCTTGTTCTAAAATGAGACCATTGTCCTACTTATCTCTGGTCACCTGATCTTGCAAGCTTTTCAAAAGACAAAACTATAGTAGGGGATAGAGGTGAGTTGAGGAGGGAAGCTAGTATATTTTGAGGTCAAAGAAGAAAGTTGATAAACACATGCCTTAAACTAATATGGTAAATGTTGTTGTTGTTGTTGTTATTTGCCGTTGAGTCGGCCCCGACTCATAGTGACCCCTCCTTGGGTTTCCGAGGCAGTATCACTACAGAAGTAAGTTTGCCCAACCTTCCTTCTGAGGAGTGGCTGGTGGGTTTGAACCGCCATAGCAGTCAAGTGCCTTAGCCACTATGCTACCAGAGTAAAAGTGTCCTAAATATGGTAAAAGTGTCCTAAATTGTGGGAGTTGAAACCACAGGCAGATATCTTATCTGATGTATAAAAATTCCTTAGCTTGTCCACATCTTCAGGAAACCTAACCAACTCTCAATACTTAAATACAACCTATTCTTTGCAGGGGAGGATAAGATATCATTTCTTTGGAGGGTAAATAAGTGACTTCTGTGGTCATGGGGCAAGGTTAGCTTTTTAACTTAAGCCAGAGGAAGAAGAGATGGTAAAGAAATAAGGCTTCTTCTCTTGGTTGTAGTTGTATAACTGATTCCAACCAACAACTCTCCCAGTGTTGGCTTAGGGGTCTCTCCACCAAACCTATCACCACACAAAGTTTAGTGTCAGGAAATGGACTTTCCTCCCCTTTTTGGGCAACGTAATAAAAATATTCTCTGCTGATGGCTTCTTAGAAAGAACATCTCTCTTTCCATGTATTTACTATGTGAGTTGTAACTCCTTGCATAGACCTCTGAGTGTGAAAACATAACTGCCAAGTGAGAATTTACTCAAACCCTTGTATTCAAGCTTGAGTTTTGCATTCTTAGCCAACAAAACTTCCTATTTAAGTAGGTCAGGAAAGGGGTTTTGAGGGTTTTTTATTGCACTCTAGAAATCACGTTGCTTTCCCTGGATCTCATTGATCACAGGAAATTTGTCCAGTGAGCTTCACTATGTCAGTTTATTGTCACTGTTTTGAACAAAAAGGAGCTCTTGTGGTACAGTGGTTAAAGTATTTGGCCACTAAGCAAAAAAGATCAGTGATTCAAACCCACCAGCCACCCTGCAGGGGTAACCCTATGGGGCAGTTCTACCCTGTCCTGTAGGGTCCTTATGAGTTGGAATCAACTCAATGGCAGTAGGTTTAGTTTGGCTTTTTGGTTTTGAACAAAATGATTATGTGGTGTATTTTTATATTGGAGACAAATCATAAAGGACAAAAAAGGAGATAAATGAGTCATTGCTTCCTCTGAAAAGATATCCAAAAGTATTTAAAATGTATCATGCTTTAATGTGTAATTTGTGTAACGCAAACTCTATTTCCACTTTTAGCCACCATCTTAAATAATTATTGGATTCTTACCTGTGATTACACACATGATATGTTTGTTCCATCAAGGTCACAACAATCATGGGATAAAACGCTACAAGATGTCTTTATTTATTTTAAAAAATCAAAGGTAAAATAAACTATATACAAAGTTAAGTTTCCATTTAATGATTTATTTAAATTTTTAAATATCTTTGACCTAAATTTAAAATTTAGGTCAACCATCGTTGACCTTTATTTACTGTTATGAAAGTAGACTTGTTACCCAATAAAAACCTCTGAGTAGTCATCTTCAGTATTGCTATTATCATTATTGACACAATTAGTCTGGCTCATGTTCTTCTTGAGTAAGGGATTATAGAGTGATCTTTACCAGAAAGACTGTGCCTCTCTTCATTTTAATCCTCATTATCATCTCATTACTAAGCCAATAAATTCATTGAATAAACCTCACTAAGTGGTTACCAAGTACCCACAATGAGCTAAATTGTAGAAATGCAAAGAAGTGAAAGTCACAAAGTCTGTCTTCAAGAAGTTATCAGTAGAAAATGACCTTTGGCTGGATTCTGAATTAATGAGAAATCTCTGTCATTATTGAGAGTTCCAATAAAAGGGAAGGGGTGAGATTGGTAGGAAGGAGCAGAAACTTAAGCCTCATCCTTCTGCATTTCAGGATATTCTTTAATATCTGGCTGTATAAACAAAGACTCAAACTCATTGCCATCAAGTTGGTTCTGACTCATAGCGACCCCATGTGTTATAGAGCAGACCTGTTCCATATGATTTTCTTGGCTGTAATTCTTTTTTTCTCTTTTTTTACCCCCTCTATGTATCTAGCAATTTTCCCTCCCCTCTCCTCCCATCCCTGGTAACCAACAAAGAAAGTTTCCTTCTGTATGTAAAGGTTTCCTTGACTTTTCACAATAATGGATTCATACAATATTTGTCCTTCTGTGATTAACTTATTTCACTCAGAATAATGTCCTCCTAGTTCATCCATGTTATGAGGTCTATCGTGGATTCTACATTATTCTTTAGTGTTGCATAGTATCCTATTGTGTGTATATACCATAGTTTGGTTATCCATTCATCTGTTGATGGGCACTTGGGTTGTTTCCATCTCTTTGCTGTTGTGAATAGTACTGTGATGAACATGGATGTGCATATATCTATTTGTGTCCTGGTTCTTACTTTTTTAGGAAGTAAAGTAAGATCCCTAGTAACGAGATTGCTGGATCAATTGTCTG